TGGCTGGCTGGGTTTCTTGGCTGGGCTCACACCTCTGTGGTCAGCCAACAGTCGGGGGGGGGGCTCTGCTGATCTTGGTGGGGGGTGCTCCCTGGAGGTAGTTAGCTGACCACAGGCTGGCTCAGGCGGCCTCGGCTAGGACAGCTGGGCTGTCTTCTACTCAGTCTCTCATGGTCTGGTAGAATTGCCTGGACTTCTTTAGATGGCTGTGCCCAGACTCCAGGTGGAAGGGCAGAGGCACATAAGCATCCTGAGGCCAAGAGGCATCCTGAGGCCATCCCTTCCACTGTACGCTACTGACCAGAAGGTAGCAGGTGAGCCCAGGGTTAAGGAGTAGGGACATGAACTCCAGCTTTTGGCAGGGAGAGCTGCAAAATCACAGAGTGGAGATTCAGGAGGAAGGAAGAATTGGGGGCATTTTCAGTCACTTCTTTTGGGGATGATGGATTCATGTATCTATTCAGTTGACTTTTATCAAACTTACTGTGGGGTAAATGCTGGGCTACATCCTGGGTATTCAGACATGACTAAGACTTGTCCTCTAGAGAGAAGCAAATACCTGCCATAAATTAATGAGCTCTACTCTGCCAAGGCTTGAATGAGGAGGAATTTTGTTCTTCTGTTCTGTTAAAATTTTGCATTTACTCTACTTATACATGAGTTCATGGTATCTGTCCTAGTCCTAGGCCATGTGTGCCTCTCCTGTCCCCATGTTTTCCAGACAAACATTGCCCAGTACAGATTATAGCTGAGTTACGTTATGTGTCAGGGTCTCAGCTACCATACAGGAAACCTTCCCTTTTACAGCTGAGCTAGTTGGTACAGTACCTAATATGAACAAGTCATTCAACACATATTAGTTGAAGTCATTTATATGTGGTCTCTCAGCCTTGTAAGCACAAACACTTTGGAAGTGATACATTAGAAACTGAGAATGAAGTTGATTGCTCCCCCTGAAAAGAGGGAGTGGGATGAAGGAGAATGGTGGTGGGTGTGGATTCAAGTATGATATATTTGATATATTGTAAGAACTTTTGTAAATGCCCCAATGTACCCCCACCCAGCACCACAATAAAAAAAAAGAAAGAAGTCTCATAAACAGGATCCAGTGGTCAGTAAAGAGTACTGGGAAGACTTTTAAGCATTGGTAACTTGGGAATTTGAATTAGAATTAGGTTTCTCAAATTTGCAACTTGGAAATACACATATTATCCTAGTACTAAAATGGAGCAGGGACTTTTTCTCAGTTCCCATTGGAAAATATATGTATGTAGACTTGTTTTGATTTGTGTTAATATTTCATGGTTTGCATTAAATGCTAGTGACTACAGGATGAACAAGTTTGAGAACCATTGATTGTAGAAAGGACCTTCCTGTTACCTGGTTGAAGTCATAGGAGGTACAGACCTGAAAGGCCCTTTCTGTCTTTCCTTGTTTGGTCAGGGTCAAAGTTGTCTACCTATAAACAGGTCAAGTCAATGTCCTCTTGCTGTTTGCAGTGTCATAAAATCTGCTTACGTCTATTCAGGAGCCTTGTTTAATTTTGTTTTATAACTTTCTGCTCTTCACAAGGACTAATACAAGCTTGCAGAACAGTCTTGGTAAGGCAGTTGATAGAAGTTGAAGGTTGCTAAATATTGCTAAGGCAGCTAGCTTGATAATTAGGGACTCTGTGCAAAGCACTTCAAGCAAATCATCCTTGGCCAAGAGCTCTCCCAGGGCTGGAAATAGCTCAAGGGCTGGGAGGGAGGGAGTCAGGGAACTGGAGAGATTGGGTGAAAACAGGTGTGAGATTTTATACTCACAGTGCCCAGAGTGGTTATAAGCAGATTCTCCTTCTACTATGTAAAGAATAGAAGGAAATAAGGACAGCTTCTGATTTTGGCCTCCACATTTCTCCTTCAGTAGCTGAAAGAGAAAAGCCTAAAATGAAAAGAAGGAGAAGCAAAGTAGCCTTGGGCCCGTCCATAAGTCCCAAGGCTGGAACTTGAGGGACAAGGAGAGTATCCCAGCAGGCCCTGGATGCTGAGAAAAGCAAGGGCAGGGGTCAAACATGTTCCCAGGGCTAGAAAGCTGGGTGGGCTCCTGTTTAAGAGAAAAGATTGAGAACTAAAGCCGTCCTTCAATCCCCATATCTGTGTGTGTTTACTCCAGTGCCCTGCATTGAGGCACTTTTGATGGTTTAGTTAAAATATACTAGTAAGAAGCTACATTGGCAAAGCATGAGCTTTGTTTCAACTGCTCAAACTCATGCGACCCCCTTTGTTTTCTTTTTTTAACTAACACTAGCCCAGAGTTTAACACTGAAACAATTCTCTCTCTTACTCAGAAGCTGCCTGCTTGTGTTTGTCAGGGCTGCTGTATCAAAGTACTGCAAACTGGGTGGCTTAAAAGCAGAAGTTCATCAACTCACAGCTCTGGAGGCTGGAAGTCCAAGGTCAGGGTGTCAGCAGGGTTGGTTCTCTCTGAGGACTTTGGGGGAGAATCTGGCCTATGCCAGACCCTGTTTTCTGGGGTTTGCAGCAGTCTTTGGCATTCTTTGGCATGTAAAGGAATCTCCAGGATCTGCCTTCATCCTTGCATGAGGTTCACCTTGTGTGCATCTGTCTTTGCATCCCAATTTGCCTTTTTTGTAAGGATGCCAGTCATGTTGGGTTGGGAGCCCACCCTACTACAGTATGACTTCATCTTAACTAATTATATCATCAGTGTCCCTGTTGCTACATAAGGTCACGTCCTCAGGCCCTTGGGTTAGGACCTGATGTTTGAACTTTGAGGAGACATAGTTTGCCCATGATACCATCCTTCTGAGGGTCAGCTCTTCCTCAGTTCTATGGTCCCCAGCTTTGGCCATTGCAGCCAGGTCTACTCACCAGGCATTTCATGTTGACTTCAGCCTTTGTGAGGAGATTTTAGCTCATGAGGTATCCATAGCCAGCTCCCTGCTTCTGCACGTGATCTTGCTACCATTTGCATTGCCAGTGGCCTCTTCCAAGGTGGGGGCAGTGGTGTGGGTAGGTCAAGACCCTGCAGAGTGAACATTTGTTGACTACATGAAAATAAATGTACAGATAAATAGCAGCAATGATAAATGCTGGGACAAAACCTCCATGGTTTGGCACCCAAAGCAGACCACTTAAATGATTCAGTGACATCTTTGTTCTGGCTTTGGGTTCCAGCCAGCTGAGTGCTGGTCTGAATGCCTTTACCACTTTGTAAAGTCCAGCTGCAGCTCTCCTGAGCTGCCTTCCAGTCCAAGACAAGCCTCCTCTCATCTGCTTGTCATCTCTATAGGGCTTCTGATCCAAATAAAAGGGACAGCCCAGCTGCCTTCTTCCTTCCTGTCCCTTGCCATAACTGATCTCATCATCCCACATCTAGTCTTTTTCTGCCTCGTGATGCTGGCTCTCATGGACTTCCAGCTCTCTCAAGGGCCCTTGTGGCCCTGCCACCCTCCTCACCTGGCACCTTTGCTTACCTTTGCAGTTGCCTTCTGGTTCTCACCTCTGTCCTTCCTTGGAGGATGTGGGGTTTTCCTCCTGCACTTGCTTGCCCTCCCACATCCATCCCTGCCTTGCTCTTTGGAAATTCCAGCCATCCCAGCCTCCTCATCCCCTGAAATCACCTATCTCCCCGCTATGGCCTCTGGGGTTTCCACCTGTTCATTGTAGTGTCTTGGATACTGTTCAAGACCTCACTTCAAAATATTAATGTGATAATAAGTTATCCCCTGAACTTTGAAATGGGGGAATTCTTATTATTCCACATAAAGTGAGACTGTATTCCAGCTCCATTCTGACTTCAGAGTCTCTCCTGTGGTTTGTGCATATTCTTTTTTTTTTGGGAGGTATTAGGGTTTGAACTCAGGTCCTCACACTTGCTAGGCAGGTGCTCTACCACTTGAGCCACTCCACCAGCCCATCATTTGCATGTCAATACACACAGACCTGAGAGAGTACAGTGGACCACTCACTGTTGAGATACCTGTAAAACACTGACAAACATAGAGGCTCATGCTGTCATACATTGACTTAGCCTTCATCAGGGAGGTCTATTTTCTACTTTGCTGATGGTCCTTGTCAGGATGCCTAGGTAGTCCTTAGGAAGGCCTGCCTGTCTCTTCTCTTACGTCTGTGGGCATGTACACACTCATCTGCCGCATGGATTAAGTGCCCTCTGTGTTTCAGTCCCACACTGTGACAACTCCTGACATAGGGATTTTTGAAGAATACCTTCTAAATGTCACTTTCCACTGCACAGGATTGTCCCCAATATCGTCACCCTCTTCCCAAGAAGTGAAATAAAAGAACTGGCAAGCATCAAGGGCTAATTTTTAAAACTGTACTGAAAAGGCATGGTAACATCTAGAAATTTTCTCTTAGAAATAACTAAACATTTAGCTTCACATTTATTCACAAAGCATTCCTCCTCCCTCCTTCCCTCCTTTATTCCTTCTGTTGGGCTTTGTGGTTGCAAAGCAGGTGCTCTACTGTTTGGGCCACCCTCCAGTCCATTTTGCTCTGGTTATTTTAGAGATGGGGTCTCAAGAAATATTCGCCCAGGCTGGCCTTGAACCACAAGCAACCCTCCCAATTTCAGCCTCCCAAGTAGCTAGGATTTCAGGCATGAGCCACCGGTGCCCAGCTAAGCATTCTTAGCTGGTATTACAAATGCACAACAATAGGAGATTGAGTAAGCTAATACTAAGTAAACCTACAAATTCAGTGACTTAAAATGTAGAAACATACCACAGAGAGATGGTCATGCTTACAAACCATATGTAGTCAGTCTTATTGTCATGTTAAAATTCACACACTTACCCCCTTCCCCCACATCCATACAGAACTGAGCAATTAGAACCAAAATCCAGAGTGATAGCTGGTGACCCTCTCTGGGTAGAGGGATGAGGTTATAGATTTTTTTTTTAAGGTTTTTAGACTAAAAAGCCTATAAAATACCTTTTTCTAAATATTCCCATGTGTGTTTTTGATCCTGTGCAGCGTATAGTGACTTAGGCTACTACATTATCAACAAACTGCACCATGTGGACGAGTCCGTGGGGAGCAAAACAAGACGGGCCTTCCTGTATCTAGCTGCCTTCCCTTTCATGGATGCCATGGTAAGTAGAGGACACCACTGGATTTTCTTTGTCATGGTAAAATGTATGTAACATAAAATTTGCCATTTTAACCATTTTTCTGTGGGTAGTTTAATGGTATGATGAACATTCATGTTTGTGTACAGTCTTCAGGGCTGTTCTTACTTTGCAAAACTGAAACTCTGTATCAGTTAACCACTTCCCCCTTCCACAGCCTCTGGAAACCACACTTCTACTTCTGTCTCCATGACTTTGACTGCATTTGATACCTCATACATAGGAGAGACATCAGTCTGTGTTTGTTCTTTAGTGACTACCTGATTTCATTTTACATAATATCTTCAATGTTGTATCTATGTTGCAGCATGCATGTCAGAATTTCGTTCCTTTTGAAAGCTAAATACTATTCTATTGCATAGGTACAGTACATTTTGCCTAGCCAATCCTTTGCATTGCTGCTACATTTGACTATCATACTCAATACCCATATGAACATGAGCAAACAAATATGTTTGAGTCCCTGCTTTTAGTTCTTTTGGATATACACCCAAAGTGAGATTGCTATAAAATGGTGATTCCTTTTTTGTTGTTATCATTGTTGTTTTGGTTTGGGGTTTTTTTGTTGTTTCTTGAGACAGGGTCTTGCAATGCATCTTTCAGTGTAGCCCAGACTGGCCTTGAACTTGTGATCCTCCTGCCTCTGCCTCTAAGTGCTGGGATTACAGGCCTTTACAACATGCCTGGCTTTTTTTGTTTGTTTGTTTGTTTGTTTTTGATCTCGAGGCTTTGCACTGACAAAACAGGTGCTCTACCACTGGAGCCACACCTCCTGTCCATTTCGCTTTACTTATTTTGGGAGTAGGGTCTTGCTTTTTACTCAGGCTGGCCTCAAACTATGATCTTCCCAATCTCAGCCTCCCAAGTAGCTAGAATTATAGATGTGAGCCACCAGCACCCAGATAGAATAGCTTTCTGATAAGCTAACCACCCATATAGTGTAAGCACCCAAAGTTTTAGAATAAGAATTTCCTGAACTACTAAAAAGATTCCATTACTTTAATAACCAGCCTTACTACATTAGATAAGGACTATTCATCTCCATAAATTCTTTGTGAGTGATCTTGAAGACAATGTTTTTTTCTTTTCACCTGTATATAGATATAAACACCCTTAACACCCAACGACATATAATACTAGAAAATAAACTCTTTGGGCTATATTTAAATTACTCTTGGAAGAAGACTTCAATGTGAGAATTTTTGGGTTTTTTTTATTGTGATCCTAGAGAATCAAACCCAAAGCTTCCTGCATGCTAAGCAGGTGCTCTGTGACTGAGCCCTGGAGGGAGACTTTAGAATATTCTGGTCTACATAATCTTGTAATTCTCAAGTTTCATGTGTAAGTGGATCTCCATTGAGGTGAGGCCACAGCCCCAAACCCTTAAAGGAATGAGGCAAGGTAAAAATACATATGATCATTCCCACCAGGTCAACAGTCTTAAATTGACCTTTGACCTTTTGTTAGATTATTGGCACAGCCTCAGTGATTCTCTGATGGCTTTCAACCAATCTACAAGACAGTCTTTAATATTAAACTCCCAGTTGTGACACAAAGGTCCTTGTTCTTAATTGTTATGATATCACTGTGGGTGGAAACACGTGCTCTTGGATTTTCTTTCTCTTACTTGGTACCAGCTAGGTTTCCTCTAGTGGCTGACACAGGTAACTCAGGGAAAAGAAAAGGGCAAAGAAGCTGCAATCATGGAGCCAGCTTCCCCACAGTCCACATTGGCCTACAGGGAGCCTGATGCTTTTTTTTTTTTTTACATGATGACATACAATTTTCCATGTATCCAGAGTATTAGAAATATTTTTTCTATTTTATTTTATTTTTATTATTGTTTTGCTGGGGGTACATTGTGATAGTTATAAAAGTTCTCACAATATATCATAGTTGAATTCACCCCCCATCGTTCTTTATCCCCCTCCCCCATTCTTGGGATAGTTTCAAAAAGCCTTATTTTTCCATTTACAAACATTTAGAAGATACATGATAAGCTATATTTTATATGAATTAGGCATCATGAAAGGCCTTTGTAGATTGCTGTGTATGGCAGGATCACTGGGCCAACAAATTACAATATTTTCAACTTAACAGTGGGCTTATTGGGATGTAATCCCATCTATGTATATGTATTTAGATGACCAAGGACCTTTTATTGAGAAGATGATTTTCCACTGCATTGAAGTTTAATCTTTGCTGTGAATCAGGTGACCCTATGAAAGTGGGATGGTTTTTCTATCTTTGAGACACTACAATGGTATCTTAACTTATATCACCTTTTGGTATATCTTGATATCTGGCCATATGTCATCTACCTTTATTGTTACTCTTTAAGATTGCTTTCACTATTCCTCACCTTTTGCATTTCTATATATATCAGCTTGTCAGTTTTTACAACAAAATGGTAGCATTTTCATTTGATTGTATTGACATCTTTATTATATTAAATTTTTTAATTCAAATACTTGGTGTATCTATTTAGGATTACTTTTGTAATTTTCTGCATAGAAAATTAGTGTCTTTTTATTTATTCTCAAACTGTTATTTGATGTTCTTATATTTTCTATTTTCATGTAGATAGAAATATAATCGATGTTCTTTTTTTTGACAGTATGATGTTTTTATTTGTTTCCTAATTTACAGGATTATATTAATTAATATCTGAGTGTTAAACTCCCATTTACTCTTTTTTTTAATTGTTTTATTATTCATATGTGTATACAAGACTTGGGTCATTTCTCCCCCCTGCCCCCACCCCCTCCCTTACCACCCACTCCACCCCTCCCTCTCCCCCCCACCCCCTCAATACCCAGCAGAAACTATTTTGCCCTTATTTCTAATTTTGTTGAAGAGAGAGTATAAGCAATAATAGGAAGGAACAAGGGGTTTTGCTGGTTGAGATAAGGATAGCTATACAGGGCATCGACTCACATTGATTTCCTGTGCGTGTGTGTTACCTTCTAGGTTAATTCTTTTTGATCTAACCTTTTCTCTAGTACCTGTTCCCCTTTTCCTATTGGCCTCAGTTGCTTTAAGGTATCTGCTTTAGTTTCTCTGCGTTAAGGGCAACAAATGCTAGCTAGTTTTTTAGGTGTCTTACCTATCCTCACCCCTCCCTTGTGTGCTCTCGCTTTTATCATGTGCTCATAGTCCAATTCCCTTGTTGTGTTTGCCCTTGATCTAATGTCCACATATGAGGAAGAACATACGATTTTTGGTCTTTTGGGCCAGGCTAACCTCACTGAGAATGATGTTCTCCAATTCCATCCATTTACCAGCGAATGATAACATTTCGTTCTTCTTCATGGCTGCATAAAATTCCATTGTGTATAGATACCACATTTTCTTAATCCATTCGTCAGTCACTTTTCAGAGAACTTAATGAAGTGAACTTCTTCCCATCCTGAAAGAGTTAAGGCCTAACTCCCTAGACTGAGGCTGTGATATTGCTCTAATTTCTGTCCTTCTCTGAACTGGAAATAGGACTCTAAACACAGAGAATTGTAATTATACGGTGAATTCTGGGAACTCAGGACTGTTAGTAAAAGTGAGTTGCTAACTCTTCGAACACCCTGTCTTACTGCCTTTCAGCTGTATTTTAATTTGCTACAAGAGAGTTTCTAAAATTCAGTGTAGACTGAGCCTCCTTAGTCCAAAATCCACACTTCGGTTTTTTTCCCTCTGGGCTTCTTTCCCCATTCTTTTATTTTTTTTAATTGTTTATACATTATTCATTTGTGTATACATTGTTTGCCCATTGCCCCTCGCCCCCAGTCCTCCTCCAACCCCCTCGCTTCCAGACAGAACTTGTTCTTCCCTCTTCTCCAATTTTGTTTAAGAGAAAACATAACAGATAATGAGAAAGACATATTGTTTTTGCTAGTTTGAGATAAAGATAGTTATACAGAGAGATTCCTAGTGTCGTTTCCATACACACGTGTATTACAGACACATTGGTTCATATCTTCCAGACCTCTTCACTGCTTCCTAGTCCCCTTCCCATAGTGGTCTCCGCCTGTTTAAGATTACCTTATTCACTCCTCTACAGTGGGCACATCAACCACTTTCAAGTTTTAGGTTTCCTTCCCTTTCCCTATTCCTCCCGTGCGCATTCTCCCCTTAGCGTGTGACCCATGTCCAGTGATATTACTGCACTTGTTTTAGGTCTATAATCTGCATATGAGGGAGAACATATGATTTTTGGCCTTCTGAGCCTGGCTAACTTTGCTTAAGATGATGTTCTCCAGTTCTGTCCATTTACTTGAGAATGACAAAATGTCATTCTTCTTTGTGGCTGACTAAAATTCTGTTGTGTATAAATACCACATTTTCTTAATCCATTTGTTGGTAGTGGGGCATCTTGGCTGTTTCCATAGCTTGGCTATTGTGAATAGCGCTGCAATAAACATGGGTGTGCAGGTGCCTCTGGAGTAACCTGAGTCGCATTCCTTTGGGTATATCCCCAGGAGTGGGATCATATGGCAGATCTAGGTTTAAGGTTTTTTAAGAAGCCTCCATATTGTTTCCAAAGTGGTTGTATTAGCTTGCATTCCCACCAGCAGTGTATGAGGGTTCCTTTTTCTCCACATCCTCACCAACGTTTGTTGTTGGTGGTGTTTTTGATGGTAGCTATTATAACAGGAATGCAGTGGTATCTTAGTGTGGTTTTGATTTGCATTTTCTTTATGGCCAGGGATGGTGAACATTTTTTCATGTGTTTTTTTGGCCATTTGGAGTTTTTCCTTTGAAAAAGTTCTGTTTAGTTCAGTTGCCCACTTCTTTATTGGTTCATTGAAAATCCAGACTTCTAAGAGCTCCAAAATCCAGAACTTTTGTTTTGTTGTTGTTGTTGCAGTACTGGGGTTTGAACTCAGGGCTGCACCTTGAGACATTCCACCAGCCCTTTATTGCGATGGGTTTTTTTAGATATAGGGTCTCGCGAACTATTTGCCCAGGGCTGGCTTCAAACCATGATCCTCCTGATCTCTGCCTCCTGAGTAGGTAGGATTGCAGGCATGAAATAGCAGTGTCCAGCTTCCAGAACTTCTTTGAGCACTAACATAACACCACAACTAGGAAATTCTACATCCAACATATGCGAAGCTATGTTTCACGCACAAAAGATTTTTACATATTGTATAGAATTAACCTTCAAGCTATGTGTATAAAGTGTATACAAAACATAGATGAATTTTGTGTTTAGACATGGGTCCCAGCCACAAGATACCTTATTATATATATGCATGTATTCCAAAATCCAAAGAAATTCAAAATCTGAAATACTTGTAGTCCCGGCATTTTGAAGAAGGGATCCTTGATGTATACATTATATAGCAGAGGTGATTGTATCCTTTCTTTCATGTTTTATCTATGTAGTCTCCTAAAGACCTTAATATAACAGTAAGATTCAGCTAATAAAAACCAAAATAACAATCATTTTTAAAGAGCAGATCACTGTTCTCCTCTCCCACCTACACTCACACATAACCAGGCCCCGATGTGTTGTTTGGAGGGACAATGTTCTAAACCACAGAGCTTATTATCCAGATGGCTAGCAGATGAGACAGCCCACAAGGTGCTGTGTGCACATGTCATGTACAGTTTGCACTTCTTTTAACACTTGGCACCTTGGGACCTCTGAGCTGAGGAAGGAAGTGGACACAGCAGGTGCTATCAGAAGACTTGACCTAGGGATCAGTCATACTCATGTGACCATGTTTAGCTCAGATGAAAGGTTATTTCAGTAGTCCAGATTGGCCTTAAAAGTAAGAATGATCCTTACACAGATCCTTTCATGAACTTCAGACCTCCACACCTGCTATCTCTAGACTTTGGGTTGCCTGCTCCCATTGTCCAGCCTTCCTCTTAACTTCCCTTGAAGACAAAAAATCAAGACTAAATCTTGCCAAAACCGAAAGAGAAGAAAATAGCAGAACCCTAATCAGTCAGTGAGAACTGCGGTGACTTCAGTAATCATATTAGAGCCCTCATTATAACACACTTCCTAGGAGAAACCATTTCTGTGTGAAAGATCTTGTTCCTCTACTCTTGCTATTCAATCAGCTTCCTGTCAGGCATACAAAGCTAACCAGCACACTAGTGCATACAGTTGCTTCTAAAGAAGTATAATAGTCACTCATTCCACTTAAAACCCTCATGTGGAGCTAGCCATAAGAGCAAGTTAATTTTGCTTACTGAAGACTTAGCAAACCTACACAGCTAAGAATTTTGGAAGCATACAGTATATTGCAGGAATAGCTAGTAATGCCAGGCATAGTGGCATTTGTCTGTGGTCCTAGCTACTCTGAAGGTACAGACAGGAAGAGACAGTCCTAGGCCAGCCCTGGATAGGAGAACCTGTCTGAAAAGCAAACTAAAAGCAAAAGGACTGGGGGCGTGGCCCAACTGACAGACTACTTGCCTAGCAAACCTGAGGCCCTGAGCTCCATCCCCAGTATGGAGAAAAATAAAGAACAGCCAATAAATCATAATGAGGAGAAATAATATAATCCAATGGTGTATCTCATGGCAAACTCTTTTCTTTCTGGCAGGCATGGACCCATGCTGGCATCCTCTTGAAACACAAATACAGTTTCTTGGTGGGATGTGCCTCAATCTCAGACGTCATTGCTCAGGTAATGATGGCCCCGTGAGTCAGTTGGAGCTACTCAGAGTGGCCTTCTGGTGAATGACCCACTGGATATACAGAGCTGACTGGTGACACACTTAGCATCATGTGCTGTGTGCTGCTCCCTGTATTCAACTCATACCAGTTATGGATTCTGGTGAATGCTTTTTAAATGAATGGAAAAGGAGATATCTTGTGACCAAAGTGTGTGTGTGTGTGTATATATATATATATATATATATATATATATAGTTGTGCTAGTTTTGAGGGGTGTATGGATTTAAATGTAGTGTCTGAGGCTTTAACCATTAATTTTAAAGAGCATGCATATGAAATGTTAAGTCAGGCCTGCTACATTTGAGCTGGTCATGGAGTTGCTGTGCCTTTGACAAAGTATCCCGTGTGGCCCAACAAAGTACAGTCTGTCACTCCATTCCACAGTGCACACTCAGGAACGTTTCTTAAACACTGGTTCTTGTGCAGGTGCCACGAAGAATAGTCAGTCACATGTCAATTCCTACATTTAAGAAGAACCCAGAAGTGATTCATCTGTCTGAAAAGGCCAGCATTTACCCTTCTGCAGGGCTAGTTCTCGAAGGTCTGGCAGTGACACTGGCTTCCAGTTCTTCCTTTCTTTTTCCACCCACCAAGGATGCCAAGAAAAACTTCAGCAAAAACTTAGATTTCATTCCTATCTTAGACCTTGAGCTCTAAGTGCACTTAAATTCTGCTTTCCTCTACCAGCATTCCCATGCTTTTGCCCTTCTTGTACACACTCATCCTTTTTTTTTGGTGGTGGTGAGTGGTACTAGGATTTGAACTCAGAGCCTTGTACTTGCTAGGCAAGTCCTCTACCACTTGAGCCATACCCCTAGCCCTTTGCTTTTGTTATTTTTCAGGTAGTATCTCATGTTTTTGCCCAGGCCAGCTTGGACCACGATCCTCCCTCCTGTGTAGCTGGGATCACAGGCATGAGCCACTGTGTCTGGCCACACCTCATCTTTTAGCCACTCTTTGAAATAATCTGCTGCTGAACTTAGATTTACCTCCCTAAAGACCAAGAATTAAACTTGCAAATTAACTGCACTTACTCCTTGGATCACTATTAAAAGTAATTTAAATTAATTCCTGCTAACACACGTGTGTGCATGCCTAAATACTAGTTAACATCATTCTTTGATATATCTTTGTTAATTTTCTTGCAGCATTATAAGAGTTTTGTCCCAGTCTTATTTTCAGCATTCTTTGAGAGATGAACTAAGCTGCCTTTTCACACTAATCCTTTAATTTGTAATGAAGGAAACACCTCTCATCTCAAATGTTGCATTTGCAACTCAGTAAACATTTGTAGATGTATGTTATTTTAAAAAGAAAGAGAGAAAAGAAGAAAGCACTTAACTTTGCCTGATAAATATAGTAACCATCCAAGGGCAGAAGAAAAAAAAAAACCTGAAAAATGCTTTGCCAGTACGCCCACAGTCATTTTCTTGCTCGGTTTTCAACCTGATCCTTGCTTGTTGGAATAAACAGATCTGGTTAGTAGGAGTGAGGCAGGCTGAGTTCAGATGCCATCTGTCCTTGAGCTGCTTCTGATGGCACTGTTATTTTAAACCTTGTTGTTTGAGTGCCTGCCACAATTTGGTTGGGGAAATAAATTTCTTTTTTTGGCGGAAAGAGGGGTAGAGGGGAGGGAGTGGTACTGGGATTTGAACTCAGGGCTTTGTGCTTGCTAGCCAAGCGCTCTACTGCATGAGTCATGCCTCCAGCCATTTTCACTCCAGCCCTTTGGAGATAGGGTCTTGCTTTTTTTCTTTTAGATCTATGTTTTTATCTTATTTTATTTTGCTTTTTTTTAGATAGGGTCTCATTATATAGCCCAAGGTGGTCTGAAACTTGTTTAAACACATTTTTATTAGCATAAATTAGTTGTATGGGGGTTGGGGGATTCTTTGTGATATTTCTGTATATGCTTTCAAGGTACACCATCATTCTCCATCCCCCCCACCCGCCAAAATGATTTCAACAGATTTCATTGTTCCATTTCATTCAAATATATAAAATACATCAACCATATTTACCCTCCTTTATCCCCTCCATTCACCCTCCCCTTCCCACTAATACTCACCCACTAAAAGGATCTGTTTTATAGGTCACTTTTTGTCCAGGCTGGCCTGGATGCTTCCCACTGGGATGACAGATGTGTGCCACCATGCCCAGATTTTTTCTATTAAGATGGAATCTTTTTTTTGGCCTGGACTGGCCTAGAACCATGATCCTCCCAATATCAGCCTCCTGTGTAGCTTGGGATGACAGGCATCTGGTCACACCACTACAACAAGATATTCGTGGAGATGGAATCTCGTGAACTTTTTTGCCTGGTCTGGCCTCAAACCACAAGTCTCCCAATCTCAGCCTCCCAAATTGCTAGGATTACAGGTGTGAACCACTAACTCTTGGCTCCATTTTTGTTCTTAAGCTTCTCTCCTCCTACCCCAGTTTTCATTTTTTTTTTAATTTTTTGATAGGGCTGCAATTTGAACTTGGGACTTTGTGTTTGCAAAGCAGGCACTGTACCACTTGAGCCATACCTCCATCCTCCCACCCCAGGCTTCATTCTTCTCATTACCTGAAAGCATTTGTTGGTTACCTAGTTTGGTAATTCATGAATAGATCCTGTGCAAAATACTTTGAACTGCCACCTTGGCATAAATAGTGAGTAATCATCAATGAGAAAATGCTTTATCCCCTCTTCACCTGCCCCCCAAAGTAGTAAACACTTCTTTCAGAAACCTATACAACAGGATTTGTGACTAAACCCTGAGTGTGAAATGACCTCACTCACCTTGGTTGGACCCTGGGAATTATTTCTGAACCTCTCTCCCCTCTACCACACGCTTCCCAACAGATGACCGAAGTTCTTCGACTTGCAGCCATCAAACCTGCAAGTTTATCTTCAAATCTTGTTGTCATCTCCTCTTAACCTTGTTACAGGGAAACAGGTGTCTGTCTTCCTATCCACCATCACTTCCTCCACCTGTACCTTGGGTGCTGGCTTAGTCTGCTTCCTTAGGAATCTTATTGATTGGTTCTTTCTCAGTGACCCTTCACTCTCCTTGGACCATTTCTCTGGGCATGCAAGCATGCTCAGATTTCTGCAAACACAACAGCAAGGGGATCCCACCTGCCCCTTCAGCTATAATTCTCTCTTAATACCTCATAGCCAAACATCTTAGAAGAGTGGTTTTCACTCACTGCTTCCATTTTTTCACTCCTTTTTCTTTTGGTTCCCTACCCAAGGCTTGCTTTTCTTTGGTCAGCTCATGGATAGTTCTTACTAATTACTTTATGCCATTACATCTGGGAGGTGGTTTCTACCATCTCATTGCCTGTCTTTGCAGCCCTTCACTCTGTGAACTACTCCCTCAGTTCTGAAACACTCCTCAGTCTGTTCCATCCATGGAGAATCTAATTCATAGCCACTATGGCCCGGTTGTGGTTTGATCCCCAAAGTTTCATGTGGTCCTCAGTGGGACCTAGTGGGAAGTTTTTAGGTCATTGAAGGATGTCTTCAAAGAGACTGTGGGATCCCAGTCTCTCTGGCTTCCTGTTTTCAAGCTGTGATCTTTTCCTACTATACACACTCCCACTATTGCATCAACCATGAAGTAATGCAACCACCGCAGGGAAGGGTCTCACCAGAGTCTGCGCCATACCGTTTAGAGTTTTAGCCTACAAAACTGGAGTTAAATAAACTCCCCTCCCTTGGGCATTTTGTTATAGCAGTGAAAAACAGATGATGCAATATCCTAGGTTTATAACATCTATAACATGGCTATAATCCCCTTTTAAATTTCTGTAGCTTCTCCTCAGAGCTCTGGACAAGGGATTTCAAATCCCTCTGTGTCATTTCCACTCAAGTCCTTCAAAGGTACCCTGAGCCTGAATTAAGGATCTTTTACATCAAGCTTTTTGTTAAGTAAATCAACAGTACTACTTTTATCCCCAAGTCTTTAGATTTTTAATCCTAGACAGTCTGCCCATCTCCGCTAAAGTCCCCCAGTCTGAGGGTCACCCTTCCAGTCTGGAGTGCTGAGAAGTCTCCTCACTGGCTTGCGCCCAGCTGCCTGGCTCCTGTCATCCCCACTGTGGCCACAGTGATCTTCATCCAGCAATTTTCTGACCACCTCACCCCACTTAAAACCTGCTTTAAAAATAGCTTCTTGGTGTCCTTGATGAAAAGCCCAAATCCTGACCTTAGCCCACAAGGTGCAAAAAACCCATAGACTCTGCACCTCTCCAGCCTCAGCCCCATCCTATCCTTCCCTTGCTCTGTGGTTCCCACCACAGCTCCGAGTCCCTTCCCCAGGATTCTTTGCACAGCTGCTCCCTCTGCCCAGGAAGAAATGCTGTCTCAGTTTCCCCACTTTCCTCCTGCTCTTCTACTTCTATTCAGACTGGAGGTTCCAGCTTCAACAGCACCCAGCAAAGATGAGATGCTCTCCTTCCCCTTCAGTACCACACTTTGTCCTGACGTGCATTATAGTCTGGCAGTAGACATCCTCTGGATCATTGTCTGATAAGTGCATCTGCCTCCTCCACTACACTGTCAGCCCCAGGAGAATAGAGTCTGGGACTACTCTGTCACTGAATGCCAGCTCAGGTCAGCATATAGAGCCCTCACTGGAACATCCTCACCACTGAGACAGTAGGTCCCCCCAGAACACAGTCTAACATGTTTTTGATGGTTATATCAGATTCAGAATTATAATGGTTTGAAATTCAAAGGGCACAAGTGTTATTTTGAGTTGGTAGATGACACAGTCTGCCATGAAGACCTCAAACCTGTGACAAGTGCTGGGCTATAGGGCATCAGTCTGTTTAAAATTCAGTGGGAGCCCAACAGCATCTTCACCTTGACCGTGGGAGCTCCACTGACCAAGCCCATCTGCCCACTTCCCTTCCTCTCTAGCTCCCTCTACACTTCAGGTAGCTATCTTGTCATCTCCACACTTATTCCTCTTTTGCCCATGTTTTCCCATTCCTTCTTGTCCAGGACTTCCTCCACAGTCCTGCTCATCAGACTTCTGTCTTGCAGAGCTGTCCTTACTGGACTTGGCAGAGGACACATTGATCTTCACATGTTCATTTTTCACACCATCAGTTTTCAGCTTCTTAATATCACCACTGTGGTTTTCAGGGTAGGTTTCGTACATGGTACATATGAAGCTTGCTGCAAGTATACTTCTCCAAGTGCATATAAGGGGATCCTAGAGGATTCTAATTAGTTAGATAAATAAATTGGATCATTGACACATCACAAGTCCCAATCTTCTGTCCCACACATGATATGTCCCAGCAAGGCTTCCTCCAGCAATTTCAGTCCCTTGGTCCACTGGGTAGCAGCAAGCATGGGGGCAATCACAGACACGACTGTTTGCATCACTAACCACCATGTCCTCAGCAAGCATGTGTGAGTGTGCATGAGAGACGGCAAGTATGAGTTCCTAGACTTGAGTCTACTCACGTCACTTGGTCACTTCAGGCAGCCTGATTGTGTCCATACAGACAAACATCACCTCTGTCCTCTGTGCTTCCGAGGACTTGGTGACAGGTCAGCTTCACTTAAGTTTCAGAATGACAGCTGGGCACAAGTGTCACTCTAGGCTGTGAGCTGGCCACCCCTGGCATCTAAGAGTGTGTTCAGCACAGTTCTCTTCAGTGCTGCTGGGTGTTGCCTCGGACAGTGGAGCGTACTGATGTCATGGATCTAACCAGGCTCCAGTTCCTTTTGTAATGTTCTGCTCTTGCCGTATCTTGATGATACAGCAATCCAGTTCTTTTGTTAGGATTATTTAGGGGTATTACATTTGACCTGCCCATTCTCCCATGAGTTGGGAAAATCCCCTCTGCCCAGTTACCCTGCTTTTCACTCAGTGTGCTTCAAGAATCTTCTGTATGAGTGGATCCCATGAGGCCTCTGGACAGAGGCTGGGCTATTTCTCTGATCTCTGAGGGATGGGGAGGTTAATACATTTAAAATTTGCTTTAAAGACTATACCATTCAATGAAGATTGACACTTTATTATAACTAATCTCTTCTGATTCTGGAAATTTCAATCTGCTCAACCTGTTCCATTTTCGTAAGTTAGTGCTTTAGATTTGATTTAGGTCATTTTGTAATAATTACTGGTGGTGTTTTGGCAGCATTTCTAGTGAATTCCATCCTATAAACATTCATGTTCATTTGCCCATGTACATCACTGACCACTACTGCTTTTTTTTTCTTCAGGTGTGGGTTACACATGCACCCCAGTCTCCAGCCTCTAGAGGGAAAAGTTCTGCTATACTTGGGGAGGAGCGTGGAAGCCAAAGTTTCTAGATATTTCTTAAGCAATAATCTTAGCCTTAAAGGAATCTTAATGGTTGTGCTAACAAAATGATGGGCGTGTTCTCCAAACATCTGCACGTGAGGGTAACGTCAAGTCAGAGCTCACATTTCATTTCTGTGCCTCAGCATAGAGGTTCTCCTTCAGAGGCCTGCCTTGCCTGTGCTCAGGGTGGTGTGCTGTGCCTCTGTTGACCTGCTCCCTCTCTTCCCACTGACCTGTCCTATCTTCTCTCACAGGTTGTTTTCGTAGCCATTTTGCTGCACAGTCACCTGGAATGCCGGGAGCCCCTGCTCATCCCCATCCTGTCCCTATACATGGGCGCACTCGTGCGCTGTACCACCCTGTGCCTGGGCTACTACAGGAACATCCACGACATCATCCCTGACAGAAGTGGACCAGAGCTAGGGGTACGCCTTTCTTAATGACTAGTAGCACACGCTCGCTGTATCAGTTAACGGGGTTCACTGTGCTGTTGGCATACATGTATCTACCATGCATTGATCATGTCCAGCCACCCTTCTTCTACCTTTCCCGCCTCCCCTGTCCTTCTCCCTAACCCCTGTGGGTTTATAACGGTTCAACCACAGTCTGTCTGGGACTCAGTAGGACAAGTTTACATCCAGTTCTGTATGAAATGAGAACTCAATATAGTAAGCATATGCTCTGTGATATTGTACCCAAAGGTCAAATGCTAGGTGGTGTTGGTGGGGAAAGGCAGTGGAGAATTACTGAACCTTAGAGATGGAAGTGATCTTAGCAATCACCATCCAGCCTCCTCATTGCCGTATGAGGAAACTAGGCACAATGGGTCATGTGAGGCCAAGGGCAGATACAACATGCACACCCCCTCTTACTCGCCACTGTAAGTTTTTCTATAATCAAGAAAATTTTATGACCCATTGAATCTTTGAGTTTACATTTTATTTTCAATTCCATAGCAGGTATCCAAGCTTTGTTTCTACTTTCTACACTGGCCAATCCCAATTTCTTAATTAGATACCTACCTCCAAAGAGCCAAGCTAAAGCAGACCATTAGAGAAAATAGGATGACAAAATTTTAAGATAGGTTTTCACTTCAAAAGCTTTACATCCCACATGGCAGATAAGTCCAACATAGAAGCAACAATTAGACATGAACCCAAGACAGCACATGAACTGCAGTGAGAACCATAAGAGCCTCTAAAACTGAGGAAAAGAACATGGCACTGTGGTCCAAGAAGCCACACTTTGGAGCAGGAAAAGGCTGACTTTGGCCTGTGCCTTAAAAGCTAAAAAGAAACAAGTTAAGATATATAACCTTTCACAAGTGGCCAAACGTTCTGTTCCTCCTAAGTATGAACATTTTCTGACGTGTGTGTGCTGATTTCTCCTCCCCATCGATGTTAGGCATCCTTAGACTTCTTTCTATCTAGCTACATGGCAGATAGGAATGACCATAAATAGCCCTGACTAAATCAACATACTACACTTCCGATCCTCTCTTGAACCACACTTTGCTTTCATTGTGTCAAAGCAGTAATCGTGTTGACCACTTACTCCATCCTTGGTCAAGCCATCAATGAAACCCTTCTTAGTTATTTCCACCACGAGACCAACCACAGCAAATCGGTCTTGACAGGAATAGTCCATCTCTCAACATTCAGCCACCAGCAAAGGAATATAAATTAAAGTGGCAGAGAATGGTTCCATGGTAACTCTTACCCTCAAAGAAGTAAAACCAAAATTGCATAATGTAAGCCAGACTTTAAAGGTGGCACACACCTTGGCTGCAGAGGCCCTAACACATCGCTTTTTCCTTACCTGCTTTCTTTTGCATATGCTTCTGCACAGTTTATGTGGCTTCTGCAGAAGCTTTGAGAATAAGAACCTGTAGTCGATTTACACAGTGCTGAAATAATTAGTCACGTTAATATACGTTGACTGATCCCAAAGTAGATTATAATAATTTTGTACTTCTAAGAGATACCTCCTACTGACATGGCGTCTAGCCAGTCACTGCAATGATATAAACAAAGGCTAATTTCAAACCTGTTTCTCAGGCCATAGAGCTGGGTTCCACCTTGGCTAGAGATTGAGTGCCTGCATGGAAAATTCAAGCAAGCTTGAATGTGTGCTTTGATTTCACAGTAGCTTGCCAGCTGTCTGAATTAATTTCTAATAAGACTGTACATTTTCTTTTAATTCAGCTTGGCATGTCTGCAGAGACTTTTCCCTTTGTTACTGTTAAGCACAGTGAATTGACTCATGATTGGCATTAAAAAAGAAAAGTTTTGATTCTGAGTTTTTTCTATTCTGTATCTGGAGCTTTAACTTTGATCTGTGTTTTTTGATGCAGGGAGATGCAACAATAAGAAAGATGCTGAGTTTCTGGTGGCCTTTGGCTCTGATTCTGGCCACACAGAGAATCAGCCGGCCTATTGTCAACCTCTTTGTCTCCCGGGACCTTGGTGGCAGTTCTGCGGCTACAGAGGTAAGGCACACTTGGGGGTTATAAGCATCCCCTTGTGTGGGAAGAGGGATTCAAATTTATTCTAGCTTACCTCAGGATCTCAAGTGATTCTGTAATATTAAGTGATGTGAAGAGTCACCCTAGGAACCAGTCAGTGACTTACAATCATGTACCTTTATATTTTTATAATTATGGAAGAAAACATCTACTTCATCCTTCTCATTTACCAGGTGGGAAACTGAGGCACAAAAGGGCCAGAACTAGCTGGAAGCTGGGCTAGTGTGAGGGTCCAGGCCTTCTGACTCTCACCTGGCTTTCTATTTCTCCAAGGTGTCGGCATGTGCCGTCCTCCCTGGAGGACGATGGGACGTGCCGCTTGGCAGCAGAAATGAGGATACCCAGGGGGAGCAGGACCAGTGCCTCTGTTCTGACCCAGTCCACCCACCCATCAGGACTTGATGAGCTCTTTGGCAATCTACCTTCCTCCACATGAGGGTCTCCTTTATTTACTCACTCACAGCTCATGAAATGGATCTGGAAACTGGCAGCTACTCCAGAGAGAGAGTTGACTCATTTGTTCCCTCTTTCAAGTTGGGTATGAACAAGTAGGGTGACTTCATTTGCTTCCTCCCCCACTTCCTTCTGGAGAATTAATTCTGTTTCTGGCACTGCCCATCCTTCAGAAGGGCTGGTGGCTGCTCATGAGGACCTCCTGTTTATGCGTGGCTTTGCGAAGAAGCAGCCGGGCCCTTGACTACCCTGTCAGCCGCTCTCCAGCTGAGAGCATGCTGCCAGTTTCCATGTCCTGGGAGGACCTCATGTCAGTCAGGAAGGAGAAGCCTATAAATCAAAAGCAGAACGCTTTCTCTGGCCTCAGTTTGTTCTTGAATTTTGTTTTTGAGTCACAAATGTCACCTGGGGTGGCTGCATTAACACAGCAGCTTTTTCACTTGACTACTTAGTTTCCCAGTAAAAAGTATGGGACCGCCATCACCTGTGTGCTGCAATTCCATTTTCCCCTTAAAGCAGACAAAAGGGATAAATTTTGTGTTAGAGCCATTTCAAAACTGCCGCCAATGGCGTGGAAACCCAGCGTGTGGCATCCAGAGCCGGCATTTACGGAGGCAGTTATTTATGTGCATGTCGCTGGCTCCCCATCAGCTTGTAAGATGGTGTCGTTATTCTCACTGTTCTGCTGGAGGAGAGATAGGGATGCCCTGAGAGGGTTATGTTTTGCACAGCTGTTAAGCCATGAGGAAAAGCTCTGGCTCTAGGTCCATCTAACCACAATACTCTTTTGTTTCACCATGCCACACCACACTGTACCACGCCACATCAGACCATACTGCAGTTCCTTCCCGTGGCTGAAAACTTGCCTCATGTTCCTGAGTGCTGGGCACTGCTGCTGTTCATTAAAATAGACAAAGCCTGCCTTCCTCCTGTGCTAGTGAGAGAAGAGTTGACTCGCTTGAGACGCTGGGGTTCCATTTTTCTCCTCTTCTTTCACATGAGAAAAGAAAGCTCTCCTTTCCACGGAAATACTATCTCTAGGAAATATTTATTAATGTTATTAAAATTTTTAATTGGGTGATACTGACGAGCAATCTGGAATGAGTCGAGTTGGAAAAAGAGTGGCACAAAGCCACCAACAAACATACAGTGTCAGCCACTGCCAAGGTCAGAATGGAGGTGGAGAGGCGGGTGCCTAGCTAAGACGCTCGCAAGAGCGGTCTCATTTTGAGACCCAAGAACTGGGCTTGGTTAGAGGGTTCAGTTGGGCTCACTGAAAACAGCAAAGATTCTGGAGTCTGAGGATGCTGGGCTGAAAACCTGGCCTCTCAGACAGTGCTGTTTCTTCTTACACTTATGTATAGAGGCATCTTCCTGGTGTCACCTCTCCCCTGTTCCAGACCCAGTATGGAGGGATCTGCCACTAGCTCTGTCAGATGGCCTGGCAGCTTCTGGAAGACTTCCTGCTGGTGCCCATGCTAACACTCCCCACTCTCTCCCTTGCAGGCAGTGGCAATTTTGACAGCCACCTACCCCGTGGGTCACATGCCATATGGCTGGTTGACGGAAATCCGCGCTGTCTATCCTGCTTTTGACAAGGTGAGACCTGTGAGCATAGCATTGGAACACACTTTTTCGAATTGCCATTTGATAGACAGGGGTCTTGGAGGAGGAACACTGCTGTTTTTCAGTCCTACCTCCCTTTGTCAGGCTAAGATATTATTGGGGTAATTGGGGTATTTTCCTCTGAAAATAATAGCAATTTGAAGCTTCCCTTGATGCCAACCCTGTATGTTCTTTCAAATTGGTCACTCCTGTGGTCACTTATAGGTTATTCTTATTGAGAAATTATTTGTTTGCAAAAGGGAAAATAAACTTAAAAACCATGTATTTTGAATTTTATTTCTGTGGTTTGTTCTTTAGTTAAACTAGTACCTTGCTAAGTTCATTCCCTATGGCTGAGGTGTGGTTATAAAATGTGGCCTTGAGCCCATACACACTCAGCTGTCCTTCTGTGGCCGGAGGACATGCATGCACACATTGACCATGCAAGGCTTTTGTCCAGCTTGGTTTCTGTGTGGTAGACTTGTTGCAACTGAAAACCCCAATGAACAACAGCTTTGTCCGCCCCATCTGCTGTCTCTGCCGTGGGAGGAATGAAACCCTTCTGACCTGTTACCTGTGACTGTCCTGTGCATCAGGTAGAAAATGTCTATTTCATTACAGTTATATTTTTTGAACCTATAGGCTTTTATTCTAAAACCAATGATAAGCAAAAAATACCAAAATACATACATAGTGCTTTAAAAGAAGAAATGAAAAAGAAGCCAACAATCTGTTATTTGTACCATTAATAACAATTTTTTCCCTGGAATTTCTATGGCAGTAGCTCAGAGCCACTGCTGATACTGTTTTCTCTTATCCCAGCAAGAGCCCTTTGAAGAGAGGAGAGGACAACCCTTGGCCAGGTGTCCCCAGCAGGTCACTGTGGCAAAAGAGGTAGCAGTGAATCTGGCTAATACTGGGCCCTCCTCCTGCTTACCCCCATGCTCACTCTGACTTCTGGGGTACAGGAACCTTGAGAAATAATGCAAGCAAGGACCAGCCACAAGCTACATGTATCCTTCGGTCCTTCTCACAGCCACCAGCTTCCAAAATGCCCCCCTTACCTGGATATGAGCTTCTGGGGAGGGGCACAACTTGTGAAATGCAGGCCTCAGAAGTGCCTGACTCCCCTCCACTCTACCTCACACCTTGAGCTGAAGGCATCACCCCCATGCAGCTCAGTGATGAGGTGGACATGGATGATCATGTGTGCAGGTACCACCTACTGTCCATTCATCTCCTCTTCTGCTCCTATAGTTCCATAGGCAGATTTAGTGTATGCTTATGTGAACACACACACACGCACACACACATACCTTTTACTCTCACCTCCCATCCAGTGTCCCTCGTCCAGCGCCTCCCCCTCTCCTTCCCCCTCAACCTCCCCCCACCCCCACCCCCACCTCCACCCCCACCCCTACTGTTCTTTCTGTCCCTTTTGCCTTCCTCTTGTGTTTTGGTTACCCATGCTCACCCATCAAGACTTGCTTGCCTCCAAATTGTAGAGATCCCACCAGGCATCCTAGTGTGAGACTGGCTGGTGATCCTGTGTAGGATCTGCTGGTGTGGACCTTCCTCTGTAGGCTACCAGTTCCCACCTTCCCCCTGGAGCAGTCGTTTGGATACAACAGCAGCTTGCAGAGCTTCTCCTAAAGGAGTGCTTTTGGTTGCTGGACACAGGCTTCCGCAACTGGAATGCAAAAGGCCTGAGTTCTTCATAGGAGAGGCAGGCTCTCTGCTTAGTGGGAATAATGCAGTCCATAGGTAAAGATCACTGCTTTCATTTCAAGGAGTATGCATATTAAGGTAAATCCTAGAAAACAAACTGAATATAAGCGTTCCTGCTAACTTGTACTTCTAGCCCCAGAGCATGAGATTATGTAACACGACCTGAAGACCAGAGCGTCCCATCTGAAATTGGTTTTGGCCACCTTGATATAATAAGACTTAACAATACCACACTGTATGGCTTTAGAGGAATGTCCGAGAAAACACTATTTTACTCTTTATCACAGAGGTTAAGGAGCTATGACAAAAATTCCTTTAATGAGCATACCTCTGGCTGGGAGCAGGAGTTGCTCAGAATCCTTTTAAAACCTCCCCCGTTGCTTCCACACATTCCAGTGAGCAACACCAACCATTTTGGAAATGCCATCTAGTCACCAACATCCTGGACCTCTCTGTGTAGACTTCCAGAATTTACTGCCTCGACTGTTGAAGCCCTTATCCTCTGGAGGTTGCAGAAAAAGAGAGTAAAGATTTCTCACATCTCTCATAGTTCACATTAAATGTAAACTGAGCAAGGCTCCCACTAGCGCACATTCTCTGATGTCCAGTTGTCATCTGTGGACAAGGGTGCTGCTAAGGATTGAGCAAGCAAAGTGCCACATCTGTGCTCTTTGATGGCATGAGAGTTCACCTTTACCACACTAGCAGCAGTATTTGCTCTTTTACAAATAAGAGTGCCTCTTCTTTCACAGCACCCTCAGCATGAGTGGAGCCTGTGTTTGGGTGAGGCTGCCTGCTTCTCTTGCATGGCTCCTTCCCACTGAACCACCAGGCGCTACTCTGAGTGGAGGCAGAGATAACCAGAGCACTGGAATTTGGACTTTGCTATAGCAGCAGTCTGTTGTTCAAAAAAGTAGACACATTTTAGGAATAGAATTAAGAAATACACAGTCCTTCCAAGACTGTGCTTGGTGGCATCTGCAGGGGGAGGATCTGAGAGGTTGCCTGACCTCCAAAGTGAAGGAAAACCAAAGCTCTTTCCAAGAGGATCCTGGGATCATTAGGCTGGATGCGGAGCCAGGTTTCAGGGGTTGTTTTTGTTCGTCAGCTCTGGGACTAATTGGGTCCCTAATGAGGCAGGGGTTCTTCTCTATTGATTTTCCTGGCTATGAGGCCAGGCTCCCGCTGAGATGGGGTTAGGCACTTGCTTGGCAGTGGGCTAGGAGAGCTTCAGCAAGCCTCAGATTAGTGACCTGTGAGGACACTGAGCCACTTGCGGGATTGGCTTAAAATTCAGTATAGCAAATGCTCTTTGAGGGCCTTCTCTGATCCAGAGACATTGTGCTAAGTGCTTCAGAGCCAAAGAGGTGGGTGAGACAGAACCTGATAGCAGAGGTTCAGAGCCTTACAGGCAGTCCGAATACCAAGGTGCCCTAAAGTCAGCTCTGGGGTCATTAGGCAGCACAGGAGGGGAAGCCCAGAGATAGCCTGGAGGTCAGAGAGGCTTTGGGAAGCAGATGAGCCTTGAAGAGAAGGGTATTTTGAGAATCAGGAGATCCAACAAGGATGAATCAGGAGAAGGAACAAAGCACAGGTGTATAGGGGAAGAGTGAGAAGCTCCATTTGTGATGCAGATATAGACGTAATGGTGGGAAAGTGAGTCTGGTTCAGACCGGGCAGGGCTATGACATTTAGGGATGCAACCCTAGTGGCTGGGACCAGGATAGGGAGCCGGCTTCAGAGCCAAGGCCCTGAGCAGAGCAAGGTGGGTGACCTGGTGCCAAGGGAAGAGAACTGAATCACTCTAGAATTAGCTCTGGTTAAGGTTCATTTACAGGAGCCTGACAGCTGTCTGAGAGAGACCCAACATGACAGCTGTCTTCCAAACTGTCACTTGAAACCCAAACTTCAGGCACATCAAATAAAACAAGATGCTCTTTGAGATCTAGGGGGTCAGCCCAGGATAACCCAGCACCCGTCATCACTGCTGTTCTCTTTCCCCAGAATAATCCCAGCAATAAACTGGTGAGCACAAGCAACACGTTACGGCAGCCCACATCAAGAAGTTCACGTTTGTCTGCATGGCCCTGTCACTGACGGTAAGAAGAGAGCCTGTCCCCACAGCACCCTCTCTTTCCTTCCTCCTTCCTTCCTCCTTTCTTTCCTCCCTTCCTTCCCCTCCTTCCTTCCTCCTTTCTTTCCTCCCTTCCTTCCCCTCCTTCCTTCCTCCTTTCTTTCCTTCCTTCCTTCCCCTCCTTCCTTCCTTCTTTCCTTCCTCCCTTCCTTCCTTCCTTCCTCTCTTTCTCTCTCTCTCTTCTCTCTCTCTCTCTCTCTCTCTGTTTGTAAAGGGGGAAATTACCATTATAAGAGAAGAAATCCTCCATTCTTTAATGTGATACTATGCTAGATTAATACCTATTTGAAAATGTCTTCTTTCCTAAATATGAGTGATTATTGTTCAAACAAGCCATTGAATCTAGGGACAAAACTCCACTCCCAGCATTTCTCAGGACACTATAACTGATCAAGAAAGACAGACTTTGCCTTTAATTTGAATGATACTCCAGCCAATTTTCCAGCCAATTTTTTATGTATCCAAAGTCAACTTTATAACCATCCCTGCCCTTTCCCAACTTTGATTGGCATTATTTCAGTTTCCCTAGTAGAAGTTCCTTTCCTAATTACCTTATGCTGATGTAGCTTCCTTGTTTTTCCATATTGATGGAGCTCCCTCTGGATCCCAAGCCTATCTGTCTACTGAGGATACAGCTGTGAACAAGTGTGGGTGACACTGGGCCATTGACAGTCTGTTGGTGTCTAGATGCCCATCCTTAAATAAACAACACACATCCTTCCTTTGTCAGGCTCCCATGGGCAATTCAAATATATAAGATAATGTTCAGAAAATATGGACGTGCCTCATAAGCCAAAGGATATGATGTATAATTTAAGGTTACTTATAACATATCAACAATAGCAAAAACTCTAACATTTATGGTTGACTGTGCCTTATGGGTTGTTAAGATATAGATTAGAAGAGGTTTAAAAGAAATATAAGTCTTTTGAACTAAACTCCGTCTTCTTATTTGTTGTTGTGGCTACACATTTCCTATTAAGTCCTGTAGAATATAATTTCCACTTACATGTACAGTATGTTACAGGAATGTCTGAGTGTGTGCAGTAAACAGCCAATCGTGAGGACTGAAAGGCTATTTAAAGCATTGTATGCTGAGAATAGGAGCACAGTCACTATTGTCCTTATCATAAGAACCATATATCTTGATGAGCCCTTTTAGCAGTTCTTTAAAACCAAGCCCTAAACACATTTTAAACTTCAGTGGACATTGCTTCAAAGCTTAATATTTGATCTGTTGATCCAACACCTGAATAGAGCAGGATAGGGACAACCCAAGACGAATGGCCCAGCACAGAGGCCTCTGACACCACTGCGTCTGTCCTCACATCCTCAGCACCCATCACCACCACCACAGCTTCTCCCACCATTGACCATGGTGGTATTGAGGGTGTCGGACACTTAGTTCAGGACTTCCTTCCACACTGGGGAGGAATTTCTGATCATATATGCCTATTGAAGGTGGACCAGTGACCCCAGGCGACCCTGTTCCTCTGTTGGCATTCTTTCTTTCTGTTGTGTGTAAGTTTTTCCATAGTTCCCAAAAGTATTAGCAAAACACGGAGCAATTTTGAAACTGCTTGAAAGAGTATTTTAGGAAAAAACAGAGAAGTGTCTATTCCAGGAACAGACCTCAGCTTTTGGAGACTGTATTAAATGACTGAGTAGAAAGTTGAGTTGAGTCCAAAGCCAGGTTCTGACTTGGGCCTCATCTGCACAAAAAGACAGCAGCTCTGGGCCACTGCTGCTGGAGGTTTATCTGCTCTGTCTTCTTTCCTGGTAGAAGCATCTTCCCACAGCTGGAGTGAGTGTGATGGAGAGCATAACCACATTGGATGCCAGGAGGCCCTTGCTGCTCGTGGTGTACGGCCAATAATTTGTACCTCTAAAAAAATTATTCTGCCGTAGGTTTATTTTGTAACGATGGCTTAGAATCTGGGGAAATGCTTATGTCCCCCAGCTGGAAATGTGTTTCTTTAATTGTTCTAATTCCACATTTAAAAAAAAATCTATAACTAGCAGTATCTCAGGGTAAATCTTCACCTTAGAAATAAAGACTCAGAATCCTCTGTTAGAAGGGAACTCGGAGCTGAGCTAGTCAAAACCTGTAACTTTTCAGAAAAAGAAAAGAAAGACTTAGGATAAATGATTTGTCCAAGTACTCAGTCCCCAGGATCCCTGTCCCCAAAGAATAGGAGCAAATGTGGCAAGGCCTCAAGACCAGGGCATTTGACACTACACTTGAAGACATGGTGGTTTCTTCACCATTTAAAAACCGTAGTATTTGGTTTGCAGCTTATGTATTGTCTCATATCTGTTGCCTTCTAATGATTCAGTCAATTGATACCACACTTAGGTAGAGCACCTGTCATTAGAAACCATAGAAAAATGTAAAGATTTTTCTAAATTAAGCAGTAAACTGTCACTATAATGTGTATATGCCTTTTAATGTCACTTAGCACATTCATGCTTGTGCATCTGTTGCGGCTCTTAGGCTCTGAACCTCATAAAGCAGGCCTCCGGTGTAGTCCCCAGGACCCAAATCCTGCCTGACACGTGGAAGGTACACAGTAGGTGGGTAATAAGCCAAGAATTAATCAGTCAGCCAGTCAGTCAGTTCTCATCTGTGGCAATTGGTGAATGACAGTCTCCTTATTTATGTTCAGTTTATCTTATTTTTAACGCTTTTAAGAGGCCCTTTAGTCTTAAATCTGTCTTTGTTTTTTGACTTTTAAAACATCTAAATGTCTGGAACACTGGAGAGCAGCACACTCCACGTTTACTCCAGTGGACGATTTCATGTATGGTATATAAGCTTCACAGCTTCCCATGCACCTTTGCACAGTTCTCTAGGCTCAGCTCTTTGGGGAAGCTCACATCTGTCCTGAGGACACTTGGTGACTCAATGATGCTTTGTTCCAAAGGAAAGCTTATACTCTCCAGAATGAAATTCATCCTTTGCGTCGCAGAAGGCTCACTCTTTGTTGGGGCTCTGGCATTTTGGGTTCATTATCTGACTTTGCCTTTGAAAAACAGCACTCTACTACTTTTAATGATTTATTAGAGATTGATATTATACATGCTACAGTCTCATGTGTTTACTTACTCTGTATTACTGACTTTCAACTTAAAGTTAGAATATCTAGCCCACTCTAAAAGTTGGTTCAATCCTTGTACTAAAAGTGTTTGTGGGTTTTGTTTTAATCGCTAAGTTTTAAGAAAAGCAGCGAATATCTTCTGTGTAGTTGGAAGAGGGTGAATTCAGGAGGAATATAGAGCAGAAAAACAGTATATTTTCTGTTCCTGTTCTTATTAGCATCTCACTTTCAGTTGTTGAGAGGACAGTGGAGGCACTGGCTGTCTCTAAACCATCTCATAGGAGTGAGGATAGGAAACGGGGTATAATTAGTTGATCCAAAAGGTTTCCTTCAGACTGGTCAGATAAGAATTAACTCCCTCACTAATAAGGGAGTGGACTTACGCAAACTGAGGTTAGGCACGGCAATGGACAAGCTGATGTTTAAGGTAGGGAAAACAGTCCAAGACTATACAGAGTAAAGCGGTTTGGAAGAACAGCTTGAAGATGGCGCTTACTGTGGAAGGGCGTTGCCACATTGAAGCCACATGGGGAGACTGAATTGCTGGTAATGATTCAGATCAAGGGAAGAGGCAGAGCCTCTCAGAACAGGCAGTCACTGGTAAATGGCCACTTTGCCCTGACCCCTCCCATAGAGCCATGGTGTCTGTCACTTATGGCCCAGCTGTACACACAGTGATAATGCCCTAAAAGGCTGCATTTCTCTCAGCAGACCTGGGAACATGGGCTGAGGAGAGTGGCGATAAGAGGGGAGCTTCCTCTTGCTGGAGAAGAAACTGGCAATGCCAAACTTACAGACACCTCACTTCTCATGAGGCCTGGAAAGCCCATCGTGGTCCTCCCCGGACTCTACTCAGGGAAAAAATGGAAACCACTAAACAGGGTGGCACATGTCTTCCAAACAGTACTGTTAGTGGGACACCCATGCCTGAAAAGGGTGACAGAGCCAGTGGAGTGGCTCAAGTGGTAGAGCGCCTGCCTCATAAGTGTAAGGCCCTGAGTTCAAACCTCAGTATGGCCAAACAAGAGTTCCAGACCACGCTGATCTGGATGCCAGGTTAACTTGGTGAAAGCTAAATTCATCAAATTTGCTGATTTACCCAATACATGTCTAGCCTAAGGCTTTTTTTTTCTTTTAACTCTTTCTGAAATGCATAATAAATTATTTTAAACTGAGAAGTTTTAACAACTTTGGCTGCTTCTAGTTGACCCGTTTCCATTTTGACTCACAAATGGCATTTTAAGAACATTTGGAGTTTCTCTTCTCGAGCTCCCGGCTGCTTTTGCTTTGGGGAGCTGGTGCCAAGAGCGGGGGCCTCTGTGCTTTAGGAAAGGTGGAGAAGGATCTATGCCAAGCTTGGGCTTGGGTGCTCTGGGGGCTCCCCAGGCCCCTTTGGCACAGTGGAAATGGGCGTCCATCCGGATGGATCTTGACATGCAGAGCATGTAGGCTCTTCTGTGCAGTGGATCTCCACAAGCATCCCCCGTACCCAGAGACAGTAAGGGAATGGGGAGTCAGGATCAGAGAAGGGAGAAAGGTTAAATGTCAGCAAGATGGAGTGACGGGAGGGCAGAGGGAGAAGGGGAAGATACTGTGGTCAGAAAAACAGAGAGGTGGTTGTCACAAAAGACAGAACAGAATGGCAGAAGTTGGGATTCAGACAGATGGGGAGAATGTGGAACCCAGCTGCCCAGGCCAAATAGTCCCCTGGGGCTCTGCCAATCCTCCCGGCCCAAGTTGCTGTAAACTGTAGAATTTAAGAGAGACACATTTCGAAGGAATCAAGACATTTGACAAATTGCTGTTGACTAAATTAGTTATTGACAGGTTGATTTTTGGTGAACTAACCCATGTCAGGAAGACAGAT